ACAAATATATATAGATTACGGAATGTCTAATAAGTCCATTGATGTTCATAGAGAATATCTTGCAAATGATTTAAGTTAGAGACAATTTATTTAGATAAATTTACACTCCTCTAAGTCGTACCTACAAACTGCGTATAAAGATTTTCTTTTTCTATTTTTTTTTTCCCTTCTTCTTTTTTTTCCTTACTCGTGACCTTTCCTTTTCATCCTAAGTATTAAAGGTTTCCACGAGACACATTTTCCACGAGACTATTTTGTAATACAATCGTTTAGAGGTTTCATAATATTTTGTATGTAATATATTTGGTTACGTTGAACAGGATCACTGACCTTCAACTCGTCAAACCACATGACTGCTTGATTTGTAAATAATGTATTTCTATAGCATGAGGGAGCTATGAATTACGGGTACATTATGAATCTGTTAAGTCAGTCGTTAAGATGACGATTATCTCTTAAACGATTCATAGTAGTCATTTCTTTTTTTTTTTTTTTTTTTTTTTTTTTTTTTTACGAAATACGATTTTTGATTGCAAATGAGCATTACTGCATAAACACGCAAGAAAGAAATTATAGATATCTATTTCAAAAAAAAAATAAAAAAAAAATAAAAAAAAAGAGTGAAAAGGAAAAAGAAAAATGAACTGGCCTTCGTAAGTCAAAAGGATCAATGATAAAGAAAAAGAATTTTTTTAAATACACTTCGTAAGCATGTAAGACTCAGAACCATGGCAAATTTTTCTATATAAATTTCCTTGTAATTTTAATCAGTCTAAAGATATTTTTTAGGATATTGTATAAAGAGACAATGTATATATGTATGAATATTACTTATACTGTATATTATACTTACATAAATTATTACTTTACATACATAGAGTATAATATACTTTTATATAATTTATATTAGTATAGTATACATAGTAAATTAAATAAATTATGTATATATATATATATATTAATTTAATAAAAATATAAATTTTATATTTAATAAAATATTAATCTTCAAATATGAGATGAAAATTAATTCGATGATGATAAAATATATGAAATAAAATTAAAAGAAAATTAGATTTACAATGTAACTTTAAGGTTACATAAAATTATAAAGGGTTAAACTGGTTTGTAAAGCGCGCCTAAAGCAACACCTTTTCGAACAGTCACTCTCTTTCTTTCTCTCTCTCTCTCTCTCTCTCTCTCTCTCTCTCTCTTTCTTCTCTCTCTCTCTCTCTCTCTCTCTCTCTCTCTCTCTCTCTCTCTCTCTCTCTCTCTCTCTCTCTCTCTTTCTACATAGAACGTCGCGTGTACGGACATGCCGTGCGTGTTTACATCGCGACGAGATCGACCTTCTCGTAGCCACTCACGTAAGATTGTACTGACCAATAGCATGTTCCTAATTCTTAACGTAGGACGATCTGTCGTTGTTGTTATCGTTTCCCTATAGGCCAAGGTATCTTCTTTTATATCTTTTCTGAGATATCGATATGTGTGTGTGTATATGTATACATATATATATCGATATGATAAGTGTAAATTATAAATATCTTTCAAATCAATTACACAATAATACGAAGACGATAATGAATCATTTTACGCGATTTTAAAAAAGCAAAATAAAAGTAATAGAAGAATTTAGAATATCTTACTTTATTCGTTCGACAAGAATATTATTATCGATATATTTCTGATAACGAACGAAATTTTTTCGAACATTGTTCCTAATCGCGTTAGACTTATATTGCTTTTAATATAATAATTGAGATTGTTCTGATTTTTCATTTTTATCAACGATCTCATTGTATTTCATAAATCAACGAAAATAGAATAACTTAACTGTAGAAGGTTAGATTTTAAATATACTATTCGTAACCTAATTTTTTAACTCGTTTATACAATTATTTTATATATCGTTGAATTTGTACTACCATTTATATTAATATAATTATATTATTAAATTTGTTAAATCGTACTCGGTAACAAAAATAAAATTTCGAATATAAAGTAACAATTGGGGATAATCATTTATAACCTTACTTTTTAACCTTACTTATTAATGCTTACTTTTTTTATTACAAAAATATTTTATATATTCGTGAAAGCTATTATTATTATTTATACTAATATATAATTAAATATACTAAATATGAATTGTACTAGAAGAAAAAAAAAAGAAGAATACCTCATGTATGAAGTAAAAATTAATTTAACTAATTCTCGTATAACTTAACTTCTTAACATCCTCACAAAAATATATTATATATCGCGAAAGTTATAGTTAACGTGAAAAAAAAAAGTAAAAAAGAAAAGGTCATAGAGAAAAAGAAACTTTATATATGAAATAAAGAATTAGATATACGTCGATAAAATCGAATCAAACTTCTAAATAACATGTGGTCCTTATAGAGAAGCTTAAAGCTTCAAATTAGTTTTTATCTTTCGTAATAACAAAATGTCAAAGAGAGAGAGATAGAGAGAGAGAGAGAGAGAGAGAGAGAGAGAGAGAGAGAGAGAGAGAGAGAAAAAGATAAGGACAGATAGACATTGTATGTTTGTTTCTCTTTCATTATATAAAAATTGTCTATACATATATATATACATACACACACGTATGCACATTATGTAAACACATATATATAAATATATATATATATATGAAAAGAATATTTGATTAGTAAATGTGTGATAATATATACATGTATCGGAAGTAATTGACAAATATGTGTCTTTTCTCTCTCTCTTTCTCTCATACGTTTCATCTTTACTACGTGAGTCAGTGTCGAAATTACGATTTGTTTTTCTCTCATGTCACGAAAGTATAAAGTTTGAGAGAATGCCATCATGAAAGTCGTGTTTAAATTGATGAACTCTTATTTCGAAATTCAGAGCATAGGTCGTATCTTTCCTTTTTCTTTTTTTTTTAATTTATATATGTAAGAGAGAGAGAGAGAGAGAGAGAGAAAGAGAGAGAGAGAGAGAGAGGGAGAAAGAGAGAAGCAGGTTATTATTACTGGATTTTATCGTGACCGTCATAATGTTTAAAGTACGTTAATATTTCGAAAGATCTTAGGTTATGGATTCGATGGTCTCTTTAGGATATTTCTAACTCTATAGAACGCTGTGTTTCTCTAACCGTATCGATGACTTTCGCTGAGTGGAAACTACGTTACTTTACTTGAATTTTCTTTCTTATTGGAGATATTTATTTTCTTAGGAAATAAGGGAAAAGAGATAAAAGAAATATATAGAAATATAAATGCGTATATTTATAGGTAAATAGATAGATAGGTGAATAGGTAGATAGATAAATAGATAGAGATAGAAGATAGTTTTCAAAGGCGAACGTTGGTCACGGTCGGGGTGATAGCGCGAAAATTACGCGTCGACCTTGCGTATTTGTGAACTTTACGAGCAGCAATGTATCGAGTTTTGTGTGTATGTAAGTGTTTATATATATATATATATATATATATATATATACATATACATATATATGTTTTCTGTTATGGATGTGTATCGTTCGTAATACGTTCGGTGGCCAAACGAGAGACGATCCTTTCGGAGAACATCCTCCCTATTTTATCCGTTAAAAAATATTTCTGAGAAACGAAAAAAATGAAAGTTAATAATTAGATTTATTATGATTCATTGACATTCATTTCAGATTGAAATAATATTTTATCGAATTATTTAACTGTTTCCTTAATAAATTACATATTGTTATAGAATTAGGGAAAATAATATTTACGTTAGGTAAACGGTTTTTTGTTTCGACCAATCACGAGACGTCGAGACTTTCGTACGAAACAGTCTCGTTTCATCGTCAGGCGAGAGCAGAGGTCCTGTGAACGTTCTCGTAGATTATACAGTGGTGTCATCGTAGGAGATAAAAGAAATAATATGTAAGTACAAAACTTATTAAGATTGGTTATATAGCACGCAGTTTAGGTTAGAGTATAATAATTTATCGATACATATACATATTTGATTATAATTAAAGAATATTAAGGGACATTATTTTTATTAAATTAAAATAAACGATTCGCTTGTGTCACGTAAAAATTTCGATAGGCCAATTACGAGACGGCTAATGATATACTGTCTATTAAAATTATAATAATAACTCATAGAAACATTCATCTATTCTTAATTAAAGGAATATTTTTATAAAATTAATGGAAAGAAAGTATTCGTTTAAGTCGCGTTAAAATTTTCCTCGACCAATCACGAAGTGTCTAACTTTCGTACGAGATAGTTTTGATTAATTGTTAAATGAGTTCTTGTGAACGTTTTCGTAGGTTATGATGGTGTCGTCGTTAGAAAATATTCGTAGGAGATAAAATAATATATATATATATATAAATTTAATTATCATTAAAAAATATTAAAATAAACGATACGTGTTGTTTGGTTGTTAATGCATATTAACCAATCACAAGGCACATAAATTATATATGAAATAATACCGACCAATCGTGAGATTTGTAATTCGTTAAGGACTTCGTGGATTATAATTAGTGATGTCATTAGAAAATATTTGTAAGAAAGAAAG